ACACCTCACCCTCCTCACCACCAGGTGGGTGTCTCCCCACACCTCACCCTCCTCACCACCAGGTGGGTGTCTCCCCCCTCACCCTCCCTCACCACCAGGTGGGTGTCTCCCCCCTCACCCTCCCTCACCACCAGGTGGGTGTCTCCCCCTCCCCCTCCTCACCACCAGGTGGATGTCACCCCACCCCTTGCCCTCCTCACCACCAGGTGGGTGTCTCCCATCCTGCTCACCCTCCCTCACCACCAGGTGGGTGTCTCTCCACTCACCCTCCCTCCCCACCAGGTGGGTGTCTCCCCCCTCACCCTCCTCACCACCAGGTGGGTGTCTCCCCCCTCACCCTCCCTCACCACCAGGTGGGTGTCTCCCCCTTCACCCTCCCTCACCACCAGGTGGGTGTCTCCCATCCTGCTCACCCTCCCTCACCACCAGGTGGGTGTCTCTCCTCTTCACCACCAGCTGAATGTCTCCCATCCCCTTCACCCTCCATATCAGATGCTGTCCCCCATCCTTCACCCTTCCTCACTACCAGGTGGGTGGTTCCTATCCGAAAACCCTCAAAAACGTGAGTCATTCCAGTCACGGAATTAAGCACTCTTAGTTAAAAGACACTTGAGAGTTCTTTAGCCTCTGATTTTCTAATATATGAGCTCCCTCTCCCTGCCCCGCCCAGTTCCCTCTCAGGCTTGCTCATCCTTGCTATGCTGTTACTGTAGCAGGCTTAGTCAGGATGTGGGTTTACACACTGGGGAGAGGGGAGCTGGGAGAGAGGCTAAAAATATCCAAAAATTACTTGTCCTGAGCAGAGAATGGACCACCACTTCTTCAAGGAAATACTTTTCACAACTCTGTTACATAGGGTTTATCTGAGGCTGGTTTCCAAGCACAGTCAGACTTCTCCCTCCCTCTTAAGGAGGGAATTTGGGGGAAATGAAAGTCAAGCGGCATAAATGATGAGGAAAGGATCTGTTCAAGTGGGGAAATGCATACCCAATACACATATGTGGCTTTGTAGTTGCTAGTAGTTTAGGAGCAATAATTAGAATGGATTGCCCAAAGAGAGGGAAAGAAAGGAGGACACCAAAAATATGTCCTAGTTACTCTGAGGGGGAAAAAATGTACAGGATGCTTGCAAGCAGGAACCATCACCAATTCATTCTTTTCTATCCCAGTCGCTCCAGCCTTAATTTGAAAGCAGACGACGGACTGAGACCGAACTGCAAAATGTCCCAGATCACCACGGCCATCATCAGCATCCCCACCCCCCCAGTGCTGACCCCGGAGGGGGAAAGCCGGCCGCCCCCTGGCAGCCCGGGCCCCAACACGAACATTCCCTCCATAGCCAGCAACGTTGTCAAGGTCTCCGCCTTGTAAAGTGACTGGACAGAGGGTCAGAGGGGGTAGTGGGGAGCGAAGGGGACTGGCATGTTGGTGGGTGGCCACTGGGACCACTCCCTCCCCCTTTCCCCACTATCTCTGCCGTCCTGTTGCACCCCTAGCACTGAATCCTGTGCCTGGAAAGGAAGAGGCAGCGAAGGGGCGAAGGGGCGCCTGAGTTTCCCTGCCGCCGTGAGCGTGGAGCCCTGTGATACTGGATCTCGCTGGGGCAGAGAAAGGGTGACGGGTGGGGGGCAGGGGTGGGGCGGCAGGGATACAGGCTGCGTTCCAGGGAAAGCCTGGAGGTGGGAGCCTCAGACCAAATAGAAATTGTTTCTGGAGACCCCAGTGAGGAAAATGCAAGACCAAGAGCGGCACAGAGGCCGAGCCGTCACATGCAAAACAGGAAAGAAAATATAACACTGTGTATTTAAGCACCTTTTTCAAGGCTCTTATAATGGATAATATTTATTCATGAGAAAAGGTGGAAAACAAAAACACCAACGGATTTTTGTGAAATGTTTTTCTCCATGGACCCAAAACCTTGGAACCAAAACGATGCGTTTTGTGAGGTTTTTCTTGTTTTGTTTTGTTTTGTTGGGTTTCCCCCCCCCCTCCTTTTATAAGCAAAAGCTTTTAGGCTAAGAAGTCAGTAATTGCTGAGTTCTCTTCCAATTCTCCCCAGGTGGGCGAGGTCAACTGAGCCTGGGCCCCATGGTCCAGCTGACCTGCACAGAGATGCCTATGACCACAGCACCCCTCACCCTCTGTCCTGTCTCCTCCGTCTCTGTAGCTCTCTGCTTCACTCCCTGGCTGTTTTTCTGTGTCTGGCCTCTGTCTCTCCATGGAGCCCAGGGATCCTGAGACAAACTCGCAAAGCCTTCTCTGTCACTGCCAAGCACCCATGGTCTGGTGCCTGGGAGTTGGCCTGTCAGAATGCAATTGTGGAAGAGGAAAGAGTGACACCAGCGTGGAGAGAGTTCAGGGTGAGGGAAGCCTGCCTCCGTAGAACTAAGGTGCTTCCCTGGTGGTTGGGACCACTGTGTTCTGCAGCCTCAGTTTCTAGAGAAGAAAGGAGTGGCCAGATTTATCACAAGGGATCTTAGAAAAAGCAGCAGCCAGTACCTGAGAAGCACAGTCAGTTCCGGCCACTGAAGAGTGAACAGAAGAATCGGGCTCTTAGTGGAAGTTGCCCCCTGAGGCACCTTGCTACGCTCCCTTCTTTTGGGACCTGCCAAAAGCTCATTCGGAGCCCTGCTAAGAGATCCATGAGCAGCTTCCTCCAGAGAGAGGCACGGTAAGGGAGCCAAGCTTCCTCTGATGCATCTCATGCATGAAGCACCTCCACTAGACTCTGTGGAAGATCAAGTGTAATGTGCCTCATGGTGCAAGGATGTTACAAGGGGTAAAGGCAAGCAAAAGATTGTAAATGATTCTTACCTAATTGGAAAGATGCCACAAGATTATAAGAGTCTTCAGTTCCAGATGTCCCTAAAGATAGCTGAAATGAAGGCCAATCCTGATCACCTCTGTGAAGGTGGGGGTGTGGGGGATGAGCATTATGTCTTAAGAACCCAGACAACATTCTTGTTCAAGTGGCTTACACCCTGGTGGAGCTGGGAGCAGCGTTTCTGGAATCTCCTTCCCGAGCTCAGCAGCCCTATTGCCATCCATCCCTGTAGCCTGGGTTCAGAGAAGCCTGGACTCCAGGGAGCTTGTTAGCCTCCCACAGCTTTGCAATTAGGTGTTTAACTGTAAGTGAAATATTTCTCCATCTAGAACAGGTCGTACCCTCAGTGGTCTTCCCTATGACCCCCAGCTTTATTGGCCCAGTAGGAGGTGAACGTCAAAGGCTTGTGAGGTGGCATCTAACTGGCAGATGGACTGGACACAGTGGAGAGGGAGCCTTCTTTCTTTCCCTCCCTAGGATTATCTCCACTGACCACTGACTATTTCTTTCTCTGGGTCTAATCTCAAGAATGAGATCATTCCTGTCCTTCGAGCTTGTGGTCTAAAGAGGCAGAAGAGCCTCCAGCCACATACCAACTTAAATACATCACTTTCTTTTTACACATATGGGAAGGCAGGGGACTGGGCTTGGCTCCATTTAGAGGGCATAAAAATGAACTCTAAAAAGATCTAAATATATATATTATACATCATAAGAACTGAGGGGTTAAGAGGTAATAGGAACCCAAGTCCATAGGCAAACTGCACATACTTAAAGGCAGGTCATTACAAGGTTAGAGCAAGAACTGATCCAAACTAGGATCTGTTTGATAGGGCACCAAAGAAACATCTTAGGGCTTACAAAGATTTGTCAGTCAGTCTTTAAAATGCCCCAGACACTTTCCCATGTTCTTATATTGACCTTAATGAACTGAAAATGTTGGGCTCCTCCTTTTAACTTCCCATCAGGCAGGGTTTTGTTCTGTGATCCACAGGGTCACTATGAGGTGAAGCAGACTCAACAGCACCTAACAGCAGTCAGTTCCTGGAAAACTGCTACACCACCCTCTCCCTCTTCTGTGCCCATCATCGCTTTGGCCAGAGATGAGGGACTCAGCTCATCTCTAATGGAAAAGATGTGAACCCAGAAAAACAGCACATCTAAAAAACAGAATCAGCCAGACCATACTGCTAAAGGGCATTCATAAATAAACACAAGGGTCAGTCAGCTCAGTAAGTCCAAATCACTGGTTGGTGACTGAACAATCAGGAGATGGGAGCTTTCTGGGAGCACTGGTCTTTTTGTGCAATGATGCAGACTTTCATGGTTCCAGAAACTCAGCACACTAGAAGATCCCCAAAATCATTCCACAATCCCCTGTATCATTCAATCTCACCACTAGGGAGTAAAGGAAAACTTCATAGGCTACCCTCAAGTGAATGGAAACTTGGACAATATGAGGAATACAGGAAGAGCTAGAGAAGAGTATATATAGTCTGAGTTAGGAGATTAAGAAATATCTGATTGATTGTACACTGTACAAACTTGAAACTCAGAGAAATAGACCTGTTCAAGGTTGTTCCGGGACATAATGACAGAGCTGGGAACAGGACACAAGTCTCATAGCTACTAGTGTAAGGCTCCTTCTACTACTCCCACCACCTCTCCGATTATGATGCTTCAGAGAAGACCCATCCATGCTGTAATTACACAGTCTTGTGTAAATGCTCAGAATATTTAGACACAGCCCTTGGAAACCACGTGACTGTCCCAATACCAACTACACTTTGGAAGCCACCATTTTCTGGGTAAAACTAGCTATGGACTATGAGTTCTGTCAGAAATTGATGAGCAAGTCAACAGCCAATTGTCTTTAATTCCAACTCATGGCAACCCCATGGCACATCAGAATACAGTTCTGCTCCGTAGGGTTGTCAATGCTATTTTTTTTAAAGTCATGTGCCAGGTCTTTCTTCCCAGGCACTTCTAGGTACAACTGACTGTCTAACCTTCTGGTTAGCAACTGAGCACATTAACCATTTGCATCATTCAAGGTCTACTGAATAATCGGGACAAGGGACAAATAAATACATTGGTTCCAGTCAAATGCTCTCTCTACTCAGTGGAGGCTAGAACAGTGACATTTCAAAGCATACTGTTAACTTTTTAGTCCTTACTACAGTCTTCTGAAAGTAGTAGGTCAAGTAAATCCATGGAGGCACAAGGAAATTGAGTTTAATGTGGCGAGGTAATGGCAGAATGATGGTTACAATCCAGGGCTTAGACGGCTTGTCTTGGTTTTTCCTGCACATCATGTTGCATTTCTCTGAGGCTTGCTTATAATACCTGGATTCCCAGGGTGGTGATTATGAGGAGAAAGGATTGCATTCAGAATCACCTGAACCAGGACCTCCACAAGCAAACTCTCTTAATTTGTCCTTTTCGTAACGTGAAGCTCAGGATTAACTGAATGGAATCCTGTTCAGAAGACTAGTGTCTCACTCTGGCAAATGAAACATGCTTATGCAGGAGAGAAACACTGTACAGGGGAGTGAGCCTTACTGATACACCACCACCACATTCATTAGTCTACGAATAGAAGGTCAGCAAGTAGGAAAAGTGAAGTAGGGAAAACAAAACAAGTAAGTAGAAATCAAAGTGATGGTTAATGTCAACCCAGGTAAATCAACTTTACCTGATCTTCAAATGATGATTTCTAGAATTCAAGATCATGTCATTCATGTGTTAGTAGACAGGGAAGGTCTATATTGAAACATTATGTATCTAGATCCCCCCCACCCCTTTTAACTTTTCAGAAGGTAGTGGTTGAAACTGAACTAGATGTTGAGGTTACTGATGTATTCTTGATCTAGGCTCAGTCACCAGGTAACTATAGAGAGATCCTGATGCTGTTCATCTAAGGTTTCTTTTCTAAACCACCTGGCATGGTAACCATGACAAAGAGGAACTGAAAGGCTTTCTTTCCTCTGATTTCCTTATGAAATTGTATGCAAAGACCTTTAAAATAACTGGGTGAAAAAAAAATGACCTATGACCCTGGGAGCCCAAACAGCATCATGAAGAGCAGTGTTAGGGAAAGTCGCTGTGAGTAGCTTTGAAGGGGTTCCCTTTGGAGTCTTGTGTTCTATTCAGAATGTTCTGTGTCTTTCCTCATCAAGTCTGGGAATGACATTTATCCTAGTAGGTGACTTAACTACACTGGATGATGTCACACTAACCATTGCAAGGCACTGACCCAAGTCCTGGGAGGCTCCATGGACCAATGGACTATAACCTGGGCAGTGGAAGGGATGGTTCATTTTTGATAATCAGACATTCCAGTGTAATGTTTTCCTTAGTGGTCACCCCCTATCCATTAATGTTACCGTGGAAAACATCAAGTGTGTTCTTTTCTATTTTCATATACTAAATGGGCTTTGCTTACCAACATCATAATGGCAAAGAAGAAATAAACTGTACAAAACTGCAGGAAGATAAACATGTGAAAACTATGGGGGAAAAAACCACCTCTTGAGTTTCCTGTCGT